AATTAACACTTGCTCTTGTCACACTAATAATAAACTAACCTCCAAAGCAAAACCTGCTGTACCGTTTTACAAAGTAATCCTGGATCTATCTAATAATGTAGAATTAAAACCTAGGTGTCATCTTCATACAGAGAATTTTAATCTTAAAAGGATTAAAAAGAATGCATCAATAGTTGTGTGCTGATCTTCCAGTTACACTGACTGAATATTAAGCCATCATATCTGCCTGAGAAACACCAGTTTTCATGTTCTAATAACTCAGGATAATTCATTTTCCTACTAAAGAGAGTAAATTACTTTTTCTACGAAGTGTAACAACTTGAATTTCCACACAAAATATTGTCTTCTGTAGTTCTTCTTTGATTCAGAGCAGATGATAAATTTAGACAGAGCCTTTTCATAGGCAAAAATCACACTTTAGAATGATTTTCGAAGGAAGGCTCATCTTGTGTCAGTATTTATGTATAGTATTTCTGGCGCCAGATGAAAATTTATATTTGCTGTCTTTGCATTATACTTTGTGAGGAGGAGGAGGAGGTAAATAGTTTAATGTTAAAAGGACTGTATAGCACACCTTATCAGCATTTTTCTCAGTTTTGTGGGGAAGGATTCCACAGCCAAGATAGACTCCTGGTGCAGAATTTATACAGTGACCCAAGGAGAGTTTCTGTGAGAAAGACTGTGTTTCTGAGGTCCAGAGGTTGAAATAATTTTCATAGTTATCCACTGCTGCTAATTCTGAAAGTCAAACTGAGCAACAGCTATGCCTAACGTTGTTTTGGAAATATTGTTTTGGAAATATTGTTTTCTAAGCTTTAGATACATTCAATATACTATTTCTGAGAATTAAAGCAGAATTTTGTTTGTTTTGCAAAGTGACAAATGAGAAACTATTTTTTTTCTCTTGAACTAATTAGACATGGCAGTCAATTTGGAATTTGCTTATTTTTAGTTCTTTGAAAAATATTTAAACTGCCCTGCACTTCAATGGATAATGAGGTACATGCCAGGAAAACAAACTGAAAACATAATATTTAAAAGACAAAACTACTTAAACACCAGGCTCTACAATCAAGGATGAACAGAATATGAATTAAGACCAAGCTACGGTAAGGTGACCAGACGTCCCGCTTTTGGTGGGACAGTCACGATTTTTAATAATTTGTCTCATGCCCTGTGGCGTATTCAAAAGTCCCGATTTTCCAAAAGAAAGAAAATCAATTTTAAAAAGGACGTTGTTAAAAAAAAAGTTTTTATTTCTCTGAAGTGTCATTCCCGATGTGGCCTTTAGAGTAAGGTGACCAGACATCCCGCTTTTGGCAGGACAGTCACAATTTTTAATAATTTGTCCCATGTCCCGTGGCGTATTCAAAAAGTCCCGATTTTCCAAAAGAAAGAAAATCAATTTTAAAAAGGATGCTGTTAAAAAAAAGTTTTTATTTTTCTGAAGTGTCATTCCCGATGTGGCCTTTAGAGGGCAGTGGTTTCCCTCCCTTCCTTCCTGCACGTGCACGCGCTGATGCGTGCCATTTTTCTGCAGGGAGAGCGATGGTAAGGAGGAGGATCGGTCCCGGGCCAAGCGGCTCAGCCGTCGGAAGTTTTTTTTTTTCCCCCGCTTCTTTCGGGCACTGCTCTCCTTGCAGCAATGCTGTGCAAGCCGCTGTCAACCTGGTCTGGGTGAGCTGAAGGGAGGCAAGCGGGGATCCGGTTGGGAGAGGCTGGTGATGGGGGTGGCTTTTGAAAAGGTTGGGAGGCGTGGGGGAAGACAATTGGGGAAGGCTGCTTTGCAACCGCCAGCAAAGTCCCATCCCCCCCGCTCTTGCCTTTCATTCTGCTTGCTCCATCCCAGCAGAGGCTGAGCCCACCTCTTATTTGGACCTCCTGCATCCCCCCCAAATGGAGCACCCCATTTCAAGCAATGAGGGGCGCCAAGCAAGGCAGGGTTGCAAACACCCCCCTCCCCCCAAGGCTGTAGGCGAAAGCTGCTCTCCAGCATCCCGTCCCTGCCCTGCCTTGCCTTCCCAGAGCCATCTCTGTGGAGGTCTTTTTTGGCTTTAACACAAAGGGTATTTTAAGGTGTTTTTTTTAAGGTATTTATTGGACATTTATAGGCCACCCTTTTCCCTGAGGGGACTCAGGGCNAGCCGAACTGCAGAACTGCAGTCAGCTGAAGTAGCCTGCAGTGCTGCATTTAACCACTGCGCCACCTCGGCTCGGCTTTAAGTTCCTGACTTCGAAAGCAAATCTAAGCGATTCTCAAAAGTCACCAAGTTACTAAGAAAATCATAGGCATAGAGTGAAAGTTAAACACCAAAGGCTTCCGATTCGTTTTCTAACATCCTTAAGCAGTTCTCAAGGTCTATCACTTCCTTCTTCTATCTAATGGCTCCGTCCATTTGCTGCTGACCCGAGGGAGTGAGAGCTTTGTAAAGTCCGCTGCCCCCTTTCTTCTGCCACTTTCTTTTTAAAAAGCTTTAACCGGAGACTTAAAAGTTAGTTTACAGGAATGTTGCAGTTTCAAGCCCTCTTACCCAGACTCTGTCCACATTGATTCCCATGCTTTGTCTGGCCTTCCAGCTGCGATAGCTCACATTGGCTATCTTTCCTGCTTTGGGTCTAAGGGCAAAAGCAGGCGTTTTAGGGGAGTTGCGGGTTCCCCAACCACACCCATTTGCACCCCCCCTCTTCCCTGTCTCTCCAGGACAGCTATCGTGGGGTTACAGGTCACCCCTCCCCTGATACAGCAGGAATCTGACAGTTCTTCAGCGAGCCCTCCAGAGAACACGTCCTGTTGCTAGAATTCAGGCCACACCCCTCAATCCTAGTAAGTTTTGAGTGGCTGTGAGTTTGTGGAGCTTCTGGCTCCAGGACTTTATTTTTTAAAAAAAATTATTTACAAACATACAAAACACACACAGAACTTAGACGTACACTACTTTTACACAATACATTGGAACGTCCTGTTCCCTCTAATAGCAGTTTCAAATCAGTAAAAATACATCTGGTATCCAATCAATTTTGACTCCTGTTATTGATTCTAGCCAATTTTTAATCTTTTTCCAATACTTTTTAGCTTTCTCACGCATCCAGAACATCCAGTTCCAGAGACCCAGGCCGCGAAACCACTACCGGTTTCGCTGAACCAGTCCAAACCGGTAGGAACCCACCACTGGTCATCTCCCTCTGGACTATTGCAATGTGCTGTAGATGAGGCTATCATTGAAGAGTATCTGGAAGCTTCAGCTGGTGCAGAATGCAGCCCCATGGACAGTTCCTGGCATCCCGAGGGCAGCCTATGTTAAACTGCTATTGTGCAAGATGCACTGGTGACCAGTTTGCTTTTGAATCCAATTTAAGGTGTTGGTTATCACTTTTATAGCCCTTTGTGGCATGGAAGCAGGTTATCCGAGGAACCATCTCGGCCCAATGGGATTGCCCTGCCCCACCTGTGCCAGCAGAAGAGGCATGCTGCAGACCCTGCCAGTCAAGCAATTCTGGCTGGTGGGATTCAGGGGAAGAACCTTTTCTGCTCGAACTCTTGCCCTCTGGGACATCGTGCTCACCCAAGGTCAGATCTGCTGCCATTCTCTTGAAGATAGGACTGTGCCAATCAGCCTGGGGCCCTGAAGGGGATTGTGGCCCTTTAGAGGTGGCTAATGAAGGAGGCAACACCCCACCTCCTTCCTGTGTGCCCTTGGAATCGTCTCTATCCTGCTTACTTTTATTTTAATTGAATTTTAAATTTATGACCCCCTATTTAATGTTTTATGGTCTGTTTTAATGGAATGGGAGACAGAGATGGCAAAATGGGCGGCATGCAAGTTTAAATAAATTAATTATTAAAAGGCATACACAAAACAAAAAAACCTGGCATTAAATTAAACTTCCAACACGTAGCCACCTCATTCTATTTCAGCACTTGGGAGAAAAGCTGGGGCATCAGTGCTTTTTGGAAGGTTAAGGCCTGCCAAAGTGCAGGGGGAAAGAGCGCTCCATGGGGCAGGAGCTGCTATGGAAAATGCAGGTTTCCTTGCTCCCATAAGATGGCAATATTTAAGGGCAAGGACTAAGACCCTATGTGCACCCACCCTATCTAACCTGATAGGATAAATAGATGTCCTTAGGGAGGGGCAGATAACCTGTCCCTGACCTATTTAGGGCTTTAAAGGCGATGAGCAGCACCTTTGAATTGCACCTGGAAAGACCCTACAAGCCAGTTCAGCTCTTGTGATGGGTGTTACAGAGGCAAACTGTGGGGAACTAATTACTGGGCACATCACTGTGTTTGAACCGGCAGCAACTTTTGGACAGTCTCCAAGGGCAGCCCCATGTAGAGTGCATTGAAGTAAATGGGATGTGACCAGGAGACAATTGGCCATGAGCCAGGTCTACTGGTCCAGGAAAGGGCGTATTTGGGTGCACCAGATGAATCTGTACAAAGCAAAGCCCAGCCCCACCCCAAACCATGGCTGCCACCTGCCTCAAGCACAAGCCCCCCCCCCCAAAGCCTCTCCCTTTGCCAAGGTTCCTCCTTGACAGCCTGCAAGCACTTGGCCAGCATCGCCACAGCAGCCAATGTCTGGCTAGGGGTGGAGATATATAATTGGGTGCCATCAACATCCTGATGATACCAGATACCATACTGATGGGTGACCCCATTCTATAACGATGAAACATAGCCAGGTCCCTGAATGAGAACTTCTCTGGTGTTTTTACTGCCATTCAACACTGATCTTCATAACTGGAGAACGTTTTCTGTGCCCAGATATTCCAGAATGATCTGCTTGCATTTAGGCAAGGCAAGGGTGTTGCCTGCCCCAGCTGAAGCTTTCGAGATAGGAGGTGTTGCCATCTACACTTCCCCAGAGATACAGACAGAAACAGCTGTCAAAAGAGATGAGTAAAAAGCTCTTACAAAAGAACTCTGAGTTTTCCGTATCCCATCCTGGAAGGGGTGGGGTAGAGGAACTGTTGAAATAATCGACTTCTGAGTGCATGAATTCTATATTATGAAATTTTATTGCTGGCATGCTGGATTAGGTGAGTGTAATACAAAAATAGGTCTCTATACAAACGTTCTTTGCAAGTTTTTTACAAGAGGGATTTTGTCTGTGGTATCTCACCCAACATGACATCTCCCCAAGCCAACCCAGCACTCACAACATCCCTTTCTAGGCCCACACCCCACCCCAGGCTCCCTTTCCAGTCAGCTTTTTATTGCAAAAGATGGTGGAACTCCCAACACTCAACTCCATGGAGTATTGCTATTTTTGTCAAGGGTGGGAGAAGGACCAGGTCATTCAGACATATTATTAACTATCTTGGGGAAGGGTAAAGAAATTAAAAGTGGGAAGAGGACAGAGCTATGAAGGAATAAGTTAGCATTCCAAGGATTTGGGAGATGACTCCGCTGGTATAGCCTCCTGCTCCTCTCCTGGGAGGAGCCTGATCAGTCCTTCTGGAGGGCAGAAAGCTGCTCCTTCCCCAGGTAGCTTCTGCTTGCAACCTTTCTATAGGAAGATGTAAACCAGGGGTGGAACTTAAAGCAGGCCGGGAAACTGTGCTGCAGGTGAGGCCCCCAAGGGCTCCTTCCTGAGCGCACATCCCTGCAGAGCGCAGGGACTATGTCTGTATGTCTCCCACATTTACACCAGAAGCGCCTCCTCTCTCAGTCTTGGGAATCATCCTCAAGGCTCCCTTGCAACAGGGCTCCCCAGGAGATGAGAAGGCAGCTCCCTGGAAGGCTGTGGAAAAGCAGCTCCAAGGCGAAGTGCACAACTTTCCACTTCAGCCAAAAAGAGCTGCTGCTGCTGCCCCAACCTCTGCTGCCATCCTTGGGCAAAGCTGCTGGGAAAGGACCCTGCTTGCTGGCCTGGATTCTACAGCCGCAAAGAGAGAAGGTGGGGTGGGGAGTTACCTAGCTCTTGAAGCAGGCTCCTCTGCTATTTTCCAGAGACCGACCATCTGCACCCACCTCCTGTGGAGCGGTTCCAAAGGAAAGGCTAAGCCTCACCTGGATTTCAACAGATTTTTAGACCTGGTTGGAACTGTATTTTTTCTCCTGTGCACCAGTCAGAAATCTGCTTGTACTACTTCAATCATGAGAATGCTCACCTTGGGGAAATGGCTTCCGAAGGGTTTCTTTGCTCAATCCCTCCCCTCCAGGGAAGATGTCATGCCAAGCACTGTCTGACGGGATTGCTCCAGGCTACCAGCATCCAGGTCTTCCAAAGGACAGCCAACATTGCTGGAAAATGAATTGATGATGGAAGAGAAAAGGAAACAGGAGACTCTGCGACAGAATCATCTCCCCAGGATGCTGCGCATGACTTATCTGGCAAGAAAGGCATCCAGTCCAAAAATACCCCATGGCTCAAGCCTCACACAGCCCCATCGTAGCTTGGAGCAAGGGACAACCCCCCCCCCCAACCTGTGCATACAGGCAAGTGCTGTGACCAGAGACAATGGTGAGAGCGTGCCAAGAGCACATGGGGGGGACAGGGATTGAGGTGAGGTCTGTAAGTGGGGGGATGGAATAGAAGGAAGAGGGAAGGGACAACTCCCCCTTTCACATTATCAAAAAGTTATCTCTTCAAACATGCCTCCGTAGTTAATGGGGCAAGAGATAAAACAGAATTAATGCAACATTACTGCATTTTTCAAAAGCTATCATTAAAAAAAAATCAAACCCAAAACAGAACACCCAGGAGATCCAAAATAATTCAGTGGCGTGGAGACTTTGGTCTCCAGAAAAGCTACATTTTAAACAGCGCTGGGCTGAAACTTCCCCCAGCTGGAATCTGCGAGCAAATTTTCTCAGTTCAACAAGCATTTTGCAAGGCTGTGGTGTGCAAAATTAATGCCTGCACAAATTAATTCAACCTGGGGCTTAAACTGAAAACAGAACCCAGGGTATTGAACAGAAATAGGTTTAAGAAGGAGTCATCTTTTTGAAACCCAGGATGATGGACAATGGGAAAAAAAACAATGAAGCTTATTCAAACCGTATGGAGCAAAATGCAGTCCACCTGCTTTCCAGAGTTTGTGTGAGGAAAGGAGCCTGCTGGGACAACCTTTGCCAAAACTGCTCTACATTTCAGTCTGGAGAACAGTGTGGTTAAAAAAGGCAGAGAGGTAGATTTTAGAAGTAAAAGCAGGCTGCTACTCTCTAGGACGGGAGTTCAAATCCACAGGTGTTGGTCCCAGCCAGGGGTCTTTCACTTGTCCTCTTGGGGAACCCTGACAAGCAAGACCCCTCGTTACGCAGGGAAGACTGCTACATCGCTTGGCACCCAGGCCCGGCCCCGACTCTTGTGCCAGGCTGGGCAGGTGGAGCACGACTCCTGCCTCCTGTAGGAGCTACTTCCGAAGGTAGCGCTGTGCGAGGACGGCAGCGTCCAGGGCATTCATGGGTTGGGCGTCATGGCCAAGGCGTCTCACTGGAGGGATGCTGCCAAACTGCCGCTTCTGCAGGAAGTGCTTTGCCTCATGGAGCGTGTTCTTCTCCTCCGCTAGCAAGAGCTGCTGCCTCATGTAATTTTCAAACTCGTACTGGGAACACTCCTCGCTCACCTTTGCCTGCAGGGAGGAGAAAGCCTATTGGGGACCAGAACTGTGTCCGTCCCTCCCTGCCTTTTGCCACCAGGAGACAAACGTGCTTGACCTGAGCAGCTTCCTGATCCCCAAGAATCCCAGCCTCAGTAAGAAGCAGGGCAGACAGTCTGGCAAATAGCTTTCAGAAGAGTCCTGCCTATTCTCCCTGCACACGCATGCCTGTGCACGCACACAAGCACACATGTTTCCATGCCACTGATCTCCTGGTAGTAGAAAATGCCAGTTTGCATCAACTGCACGTCAGACTAACAGGGAGAAGCCTATGAGAGGAGTTGGGAGAGCAGCAGACACAGAAATGTCAGCAACTGAGGCCAATCCCGAGCTAGACCATCCCGGGCCTTCACTGCTCTCCTTGCAGGAACCTGTGCAGACAAGACACCCTGCCCAGAGGGGGTCCAAAGGCTGGAAGCAGCTGCTAGAAAAGGCTCAGAAGGAAAAGGACCTGACCGTCCCCTCAAGATCAGCAACAGCAGCTGGGATGGTCCTCAGTCTGAGACCCTCCAGGCTGGGATGGCAAATCTTACCTCATGCGCATGTTCTGGGTTGACCACCTGATCGTCGACATCGGGCACCACTTGCAAGGGCCCACTGAGGGAGGACATGGACTGCCTGCGGGAGACAAAGGCTTGCTGATCAGCAGGGCAAAGGCTCCTGCTAGGAAGCCGTCACTGGGCTCCCAGGTTTGGCCCAGGGAGAGCGTTTCCTAGCCAGCCCAGGGAGGGTGAGAGTGTAGGCCGCAGAAGCCGTTCTTAGCCTAGATGCTCCTCCATCAGGATGGGGGAGGGAGAACAGGGGCAGCACCTTTCAGTTCCTGAGGCTGAGCTGGGATGCTGCCCTCGCCAGAGTTACCCAAAGACTGGCAAAGATGGGCCAGGAGTCAGCCAGCTTGGCATCCTGTCTTCACCCATCATCTCTCCCATTTGTGCTACCCAACGACAAATGCATCCAGAACCAAATCTCCTTCGGCCACCTGGAGCTCTCCCAGTTCTGGTTGAAACCTCTGCAAAGGCAGCCTCTCAAGGGGGGCAGAAAGCGGCTTCCTTGCCAGAGAAAAAGGCAAAACAAGGGAGCTGCCAAACACGGAAGCCGCCCCAGAGGATTCCTTTGGATGGACGATTCTACCTTTGGACGGATGAAGAAGGGCAGCCCAATCCAATTTACCCTCCATCTGGCAAGGTTTGGGCTGGCATGCAGGGCACAGCCACTCCAAGCCCCCCTGCCCTCCCAGGGCAGCCCCACCCTCACATTCCCCTCCCCACTCACCAGGATGTAATTATGGAGCTGAGGGATTCAAGCACTTCCGAAGCCGCCAGGCGCTGTTGAGGGTCCAAGACCAGCAGCTTCCGGATCAAACAGACAGTGTTTTCGGACACCCGCCCGTCCCTGCCAGAGAATAGGGAGGAGCTAGGAGGATGGCTGGGGCCTGAACCCCCAGAGCCGGAAAGAGGGGGGATTCAGGGGAGACAGGAGCACCGAGGGCTGCTTTCACTCACTCTGGGATGGTGTACTCGGCAGCCTTGATCTTGCGGAAGAGCTCCTGAGGGATGCTGTCGTAGAAGGGGAACTGTCCGTAGAGCATGGTGAAGAGGACTACTCCCAGCGCCCACATGTCACTGGGCTTGCCACGGTATGGCCGACCTGCAGGGCAGAGGAGGCACCTGCAGGCTAGCATGGCACACTAAGGAGCAGAGGCTGCACCGCCCTGCTGGTTGAGCTCATGTTCTTTCTGCACTGGGAGGAGGAGGCCTCCCCCAAGCTGCAAGTGTGTGGAGGTCGGGGTAGGAGGAGTAAAGATGCCAGAGCTCCTCTTTTCCCCTCTCCCCGAGTCACAACAAGCGGAATCTCTTTTCCATCCGCCAGGTCACCAGCCAACCAAGAAAATGAGGTTTTAGAGCCATTGTAGCTCTGTCTGGAGCAAGCTAGAAAAGGTCTGGAAACCCACCCACTTCCAGACGCCTGAGATGTTTCAGAAAAGGGAATAGAGGGGAGGCAGCAGCGTCAGAAAGGAAGGGAAGCCCTCAGGGTAAAGAAAATGGCTGCCAGAGATGTCCTGGAGAAAGGGATGCTACTTACCACTGAGGACATCAGGACTAATGTAGGCAGGGCTGCCTCGCTGGTCCTTCAGCAGGTCATCCTCACTCACCAAATGCTTCCCAAGACAGAAGTTGGTGATCGTAATTCGGTGGGTCCTGAAGCAAAGACAGAATTAGAAGAGAAGTGGAGAGAGAAGCTGGAGAGGATTCAGAGGAGGGCAACAAAGGCGATACAAGTTCCTGAAACAGACTGAAGGAACATAGGAGGTTCACACAGGGAAGACGTGAGAACTGCATTCAGGTGTGTGAGTCACAGAGAAGATAGTTATCAACTGTTTTCTACGACTATCAGAAATTACTGATGTAAGCTGTTACCTAGATTTCATTTAAATATATGGCAAGATACGTACAACAGTCTATCGATGGAGCTTACGTTTTGAGACTCTGGAGCTTTTTAAGGGGCTGGACAGCTAACTCTGACAGTTGGTGTAACTCTTTATGTACCGCAGAGGGTTGGGGCAAACGATCCTTGTGGTTCCTTCCAACTCTACAATTCTATGATTTTAGGATGGATAAGCAGAGGCCCAATAGAGGAGCATCCAGTCAGCTTTCACGACCGATGGGACTGATTAGATCTGAATGCTCCCCAATTTAAATAGCATCCAGGGGTAAGTATTGTGACCATGTATTGACTTGTAAGACTTTGGAGAACTAGGGCTGCCCAAAAGCTCTCTGTGTCTCTTTGGCTTTGGTCCAGTCCTTCAGTCTCAAGCCTCCTATCTGAGGGTGGGGTGGGGTTGGGAGCCCGCAGTGGAAGAGGGGGCAGAAGAGAATCCTGGGTGCTGCACTGGGGACAGAGGGAAGGCTAATATCGCCTGAGAATACCCACCGCCATCATCCCTCACACCCGAGGGAACAAGCAGTGCAGGCATAGCTTTCTTTCTATTTCACACAGCTGGGTAAAAATCGCCAGAATTCTCAGAACCTTAGAAAAGGAGTAGTGCCAAATTGCTGTCATATAAACACAGCACCTTAAAAAAAACTCTTTTGAGAAGACCATCAATTTAATTCTGAATTAAAAGCAGAATTAAATTGGAAGATTTCATAGAAGGACAAATATTTTGGTATTCTATCTCACTTAACATTGGCTTCAAAAAGAAAAAAAACTTCCAGCTCAGACAAAATACTGAATTAGGATGGATTTCCTATAAAGTAGAAGAAGGGACATTTGCCAAGCAAGAGTTACTTTGTCATTTCTATCTATCTCTCACGGGAGGAGGGGCTTTTGCAGCTGCAGGATGAAAACCAAGAAAAGAGCCATAATTACTGCAGAGAACAGGGGACTCGTGGCAGCCAAACAATCAAATGCACCAAACCAAATTTCTGCAATCCAAGACTAGGTACGAATTCAGCCACAAAGAGCTTCCAAATTTCATGGGCTGCCAGAAAGGGGCCCTTTCCATGGAATTGTAGAGTTGGAAGAGATCTCCAGAGGCCAACCCAACCTTGTGCTCCCCCTCCCCACAGCAACAGAGGTTCACCCCCTCCTCCTCGCCTTTCAGCTGTCCCAAGACAGTGGCAGGGGTCCTTCCCCTCAAGCTAAACATGGCTGGTTGCTTTCATCATTCCTCAGAGCCTCGGTTTCCATTCCCTCCTTCCTTTTGGTACGCGTTCTCTGGAGATGCTGAACTTTGTCCATGTTGTTTTAGACTGTTGTGTCCAGAAGCAGACACGAAGTCCAGATTTCTCAGGATCCAGCCCTTATCCAGGTCAGCGCATAAAAGAAATTACAACTGCCCTTCAGGCTCCCTGACCTCAAACTACTTGAAGCCATCAATTCTGCTCAGAATGTTCAAATCTACGAGGCCTAGTCAAAACCTCAGCAGCTCCTTGTTCCAAACAGCTTTCTCACAGACCACCCTGTAGCCCCTTGACCTGGAAACGGCCAAAATATGGGTCAAAAGGGTGAGGTTAGGAAAAGCTGTAGGTGGCAGAAGCCAAAGTAAGTTTGCCTGAGCTTCTCTTTCTGAATGAAGAGTATCCCTAGAGCAGAGAGCTTTTGAGCCCTGCTTCCCCACATAAGGGGTGAATTTCAGCCTCTAAGTAAGAGCTCCTTTTTCCTCCAAAGCCTCTCAGACGAAGCCCAAACCAAGCCGACTCGGCCTCCTTTCCAAGGCCAGAGAGCTGCAGGCATACAGGAATTCTCACAATCTGGCTGGAGGCTTCTGGATCAGTTCTTCCTGCCCAGAGTCTGGACAGGACTTTCCCCATGAGGGAAGGAGAGCAGGCCAGAGGGTTGCTGCTGAAGCCTTAAAACGCTGCTTTTGCTGCCAAGATACATGCCTCGGTCTGCCTGGGCATAATGAAGAGATGAAGTGGGCAGCCTCTTGGATCTAGGCTCTCTGGAAGACAACTAGCCAGCCTGGTCTCCCTGGTGACTGGCAGAGTAGCTACACCAAGGGCCATCGTCCTCAAATGGTTGCTAATACTTGTTGTTAAGGGATACTTTTGTGCCATTCGCTTTAATGAAGGCAGTTTCCCTGGTCATGGCTGAAACAAACTTTCTGTCTGTCTGCATCAAGGACGAGAGCCCCCACAGGGCCAGACTCCCAATTCCTGACTGACTCTTCCAGCGCTACCAACTGCCCCTGATGAAGCGTCGCCCATTCTTGGACCTTTGCCCAGCAGAGAACAAAAAGAGGGGCATGCAGGAGAGATGCCATCTGCCCTGGACATGACATAGCAGTTGGAACTTTTCAGGGGGTCTCTGCAGAAAACCTGCTACCCACTTCCCCAGCTGTGTGCAAAGGACAAGTAAAGACCCTCTGGGAACCCTCAACCATCCCCTGGCCGAGCAATTTGCAGAAGGAACACACCTTTTGTTTAGCACCATGTTCCCCAGTTTCAAGTCTCTGTGCACAATGTTCTTCTGCAAAAATAAAACAATCCTGCAATTAGAAGAACTGAGGTTATTCTGCCCAATGCAGAAGACCCAAACGAAGCCCCCAGTGGAATCCCCTGAGAGAAGTGCCCAGCTCACTTCCGACTTCTGTTCTTTTGCTCCTGCCAAGGCAGGTGACAAATGGCTCTCAGTAAAATTTAGGGTTGGTGCCCTGACCGCAACGTTCTTCTAGCCGTGCAGGATTCTGGGCTGGTGTGTACTCCGTAACACAGCTGCTCTCGTACTGTGGGATAAGTCCAGAAACATGGTACCTTGTGCAAGGCTTCCACCACCCGTACAACATCATAGAAGATGACAACGGTCTCTCGTTCACTGAGCCGCTTCTCTTTGATGACGTAGTGCTGGAGATTGATGAGATCAGCCGTCTTGTCACTGAAGTCATGGGCACAGAGGCAGTCCAACACTAAACAAATACGTTTCTTCATTTTTCGGACCATCCGACTGGACTCCAGATCTTCCACCAGCTCGCAGGTTCGGTCCTGCATAGACCAAGTCACAGGGACCAGAGTTAATTGTGCAGGGAGACGCCCATCCTACCCACTGATTAGACATAGGCCCGCTCTATGCTGCTTCTCCACGAGGGCTACAACTGCAGGTTTTGCACCTGTGCAAAATGATTGCTCTTTACAACCATTAATGAAATTCTCAGAGATTTGGGGAAGGACTGGGTGGGTGCAGAAATGGTTGGTCTTACCAGAAGCGTCACATTTTTCCCAGCAATCATGTCCCAGATTTGCCAAAGGTTCTCTGAGAACAGTCTCTCCCCTTGCTTAAGCAATTGTGAGTAAACTGGCACTTGCTTAAGCAATTGTGAGTAAACTTGATGGGCAGAGCCTAACAGACAGAGAAGCTGGACTGGGACTGTGAGCAGCACATGACATCAAAACCACAATGTCCCCAAAACCGATGAACATGGGCTGCGCTACTGGGAGGATCGAGAAAGCCTCTCGAGGCTCCACCAGGTCAGTGCTGAGAGGCCAGTAAGTAATGGGCTCAGCTCCTACCTGGAAAAGGCCATGATGATGGACCACCCCATCCTGATTGTGCAGGAGGGAGAGGAGGGAGAACTCGGTATGCAGCAGCATTTTGCCCTGACGTTCCTCTTGGGTTTCTGTGCCATGGTCCTTCTTGTCCTCCAAGGTGAGGATCTTTGGGAATAAGAGAAAGGAAGAGCAGCTCAAGACAGGACCTTTTTTGTAGGGAAACCAGAAAGCGCAAGTCTCAAGTGCAAGGTGAGCAAAATCACAGCAGGGCACAGATCACTTTGGAGCACAAAGTTGGCACCTTAAATAAAGGAGGCCCTACTTTCCTTTTTGGTCTGGCTCAAGCCAAGGGGGTACATCTTTCCCCAATACTCCTCCTATGCCCTGTTGCTATGCCTGGGGCACGGACTTGGAGGTTAAAGAGCTCTAGGGCATGTAACAGTTTTCACATCTTAATCTTGTATCAGCCCCAGCAAGCAACTCAGTGAAGGTGTAAAAAAGGCCTCTCTCTACCTGAGCCCTCTGGAAAAGCATCAGCACGTCAAAGGGGCTGCTGTGGCTTTGGTAATGGGACAGCTGCAAAAGGCATCGCTCCTCGAAAGGGTTGAGTATCACTTGAGGAGAACCACCCAGGTTTTGATTGTGGTGTCCCCTACTGCACATTGACCTTCCACAGAAGATCAACCAGGTCTTGCCTACCACACTCTCTTCTTACCTAGTAGTATTCAGAGGACCCAGATGGTTGAGGGCCATAGGCTGACTGTACGCGGCTTAGAGAGGGCTATAAAGCACTATGAAGTGGTATGTAAGTCTAAGCGCTATTGTTATTTAGCAATAGCACTTAGGGTGCTCTGGGTGTTTATAGTGTCAAAGCATTATTTGCATATTTCCCCCAACAATTTGGTCTTCATTTTCCTGACTACAGAAGGTTGGACTTCCAGTGGGCGGAGCCTGACAGGGGGTTGTTATTTTTAACAGCTCTGGAATCTTGGTGTCGTTAAACTATCTAAAAAGCAATCTATCAAGCTGTTTAGCAATTTATTTACCCTATCTTCGGGCTTAGAAGAGAGGGGTGAGAAGCTATGCATCAGAAGCTCTCCAACTAGCCCTTTCAGCCTAAACGCTGGGAGGAAGGGGGAGGGCACCAGCTGCAGCATGGCAGCTCTGAGCCAGGATTCATTCTGCCTTTTGTTGTAGAACGAAGGTTTTCGCTCATTCTCAGCACAAATGATTTATTGTGGTCTTCAAGCCGAGCTGAACCAATATTGGTGAACATCTAATTGTATGTATAAATCCTCCATCTGCAAAGAATTCCTTCTGCTAATTACTTGTTGAAAGTTCTATGAAAAATGGCGCCGAGCTGTGTAGGAGGGGCGTGACTCAGACAGAATTTTTGCGAAGCCTAAAAGTGATGTATTACCAAGAAGTGATTTATTATCAAACCAAATAGCAATTACTGCATAATTGGACTGCTTGGACTTTTTAACTGACTAAAGATTAAACTTGAGATGGCTTCTAAGCAAAAATTCCTCCCCTCCTCCCCCCGCATC